TTTTCTGCCACTTTTCTTTGTTGCCGAAATAACTCACCACTTCAAGCATAGTTTTCCTGTGTTTCTGTTTGTTTAGGTTTAGGGCTTGGGTGGGGGTTCCTTGTATTGTGTGGTTTTCTAAGAGCTGAGGATAATGTTTTTGTATAGTTCTATTAAACTGAAATCAAGAACTCTATGGTATGAGTAAAATTTGAAGGTGATTCTAATTCAATTCTTTATATAGTCAAATTCCAATGCCACCACATTTGAGTAATCCAACTTACTGTTTTTTATAGTGAGTTAAATTAATATTGAATTGATGATACATAACTTTGATTTCTTTTTAGTTATGAAAAAGGACTTTCAATTTTTCTGCCATTCTTCATGTGCAATGACCAAGTCTCTTCTTCGCTCTGATCAATTTCTCCAGCCACATTTTAGCATAGGCCCTGCTTAGGATATAGTTTCCATAAATCAACCTGCTTCTCTGAGTGAGAGAATAGAAGTCCTTAATTGGAAGAATTAAAACAAAACAAAACACCTGAAATCAGGCCTCTTTTTCATACGTTAGAAGAAATGGGTAGGAGTGGCTGGTTTGAAGACTACTGCTGTCTCATTACCACTTCCATAGAATTGGTCAATAATGGCAAATTAATTTTAACAAATAAACACTTTTCTCACTAATTTTCTCATTTGTAACCCCACTATGGCATTGATATAGCTCAGGCCTCTAACATCTCTCATCTTGGTTAACGCAAAAACTGTCTCTTCTTCCAGCCATGCTCCAGCCACCCACACTTCAGCAGTGGCCCACTCCATCGCCATCATCAACACAGCTGTGAGAAGAATCTCCCAAATATAAGTGTAAAAGCACTACTGACTAGCATGTATCAAATACTTGCTATGAGCTTTATCCACGTTCCCCAAATTCTCCAAATAGCCCCTCAAAGTAGTAATTGCTATTTTATTCTACAGACAATAATACCAAATTTAGAGAAGATGGTTAAATTTTCTGAGATTGTACATCTAGTAAATAGAGAAGCTGGCATTTGAACACAGCTCTGTTACATCCAAAAGCCACATTCATTACACTAACTATACTAGGGTCCGTCTACTACTTTCCAGCCTCATCAGCTGCCATTTTCCTCCCCATACAGTGACTTTTAGAAATTTATGTTTTTAAAATTTATTATTCTGTCTCATATTTCTTTTCTTTTTCACCACAGTGCCATTTCCTGATTTTTGTCTGAAGATAACAATACAGAAAACAATAATAAAATGGTGTGTTTTTTCCTAGGGCTTCTGTAACAAACTGGATGACATAAAACAACAGAAATTGTATTATCTCTCAGTTCTGGAGGTTGAAAGTCCAAAATGAAGGTGTTAGCAGAGGCATGCCATCTCTCTGCCTGCTTCTGGAGTTTGACAGCAATCCTGGGCATTCTTTGATTTGCATTTGTATATCTCTAATTGCTGCCTCGTCATCACGGTGCCATCTTCCTTCTGTGTGTCTTTGAGTTTCCATGAGCTTTTTTTTTTTTCTTTTTTTTTTTAAGTTCTGGGATACATATACAGGATATGCAGGTTTGTTACATAGGTAAACGTGTGCCATGGTGGTTAGCTGCACCTATCAACCCATCACCTAGGTATTAAGCCCAGCACATATTAGCTGTTTTTCCTGATGCTCTCCCTCCCCTACTGCCACCCCCAACAGGCCCCAGTGTGTGTTGCTCCCCTCCCTGTGTCCATGTGCTCACATTGTTCAGCTCCCACTTATAAGTGATAATGTGTGGCGTTTGTTTTTCTGCTCCTGAGTTAGTTTGCTGAGGATAATGGTTTCCAGCTCCATTCATGTCCGGGCAAAGGACATGATCTTGTTCATGTCCTTGTTATGGCTACATAGTATCCCATGGTGTATATGTGCCACATTTTCTTTATCCAGTCTATCATTGATGGGCATTTGGGTTCATTCCATGTCTTTGCTATTGTGAATAGTTCTGCAATGAACATATCCATGCATGTGTCTTTATAATGGTCCCTTCTCTTCTTATAAAACCATCAGTCATATTGGATTAAGGGCCCACCCTATTTCAGCATAAGCTTATCTTAAATTACATTTTAGGTACATCTGCAAAGACCTTATTTCCAAATAAAGTCACCTTCATAGGTACCAGGAATTAGGACTTCAACATGTTTCTGGGGACACAACTCAACCTACCATAAATGGTAACAGTAACTAATAATTTTAAAACAGCAAATTACTGTTGACATGTGACTAACAAATTCACGCTGTCAGCTGCTAAAACTTAGTTGAAGTACTACTTCCCCTTAAGCAACTTCCCTTATACCTCTTCTCCATCTGACATTTTAGGCAGAGATAGATGTCTCCTCCTTAATGCTCTAGGTCCTTGTAAAATTTCTACCATAATATTAAGACATGTTATAATTATTTACATGCCAATATCCTCCCCTCCAGAATGTGAAATCAGAGAATCTGTCTTATTCAGCTTTTTAGCCTTAGCACCTCACATCATGACTAATATATCGCAGACACGCACTGTATAGTTGCTTAATTAAATTGATTATCTGACACATTGTCACATTAATAGATATCACAATGGCAGTGGGTTTCCATTTATTGTGTACTTTTTATGTAGCCAGGCATTATCTAAGTATCAAGAATTATGAAAAGTCTGAGATTATTTTTTTAAAACCAGTTAGCCTACCATTGTTTTATAGGTGCTGGCAGAAAAGAATAGACTTCAGGGTCACAGATGAAGGACTTTATTATTTATAGCAGAGCAGGAAGCATAAGCCTCAAGTCTGCATCTATTCTTAACCTACCAGGATCTCCAGGGGTGTTATGGCCGTAAACTCACATGAGTACTGCTCGTAGAGTGGGTTTGTATCACAGCTAAGGAACCCCAAGTTTAGAAGACTACAATGTTTTAAAGAGGGTTGCCAGCAAACTTGCCTAACCTTTGTCCTAGAGGGTGATACCATCTTAATAAAGACAATATTCCTGACCTCTGCCCTGATGGGAGACATTATCTCTGTCTTCCAAGGCTGTTTACTATACAAACATCATTAAAAAGACAGTCCAGAACAAAAGTTAATACAAGACATGCAGAAAGGCCCTGAATTGTCTCCCAACAATAAATGTTTTATGCCCATCAACTCACTTTCTCTTTACTTATCATATTTCATGCCCCTTTCTAGATAAGCAAACTAATGCAATTATCCATGACATAGATAGTAAGTTGCGTGACACATAGTAATTTCACGGGTTTCCTTTTGATTTTTTTGTTCAGGACATCAGAAAATCATTATATCTCACTGTTTAGATTTCATGAAAGTGTAGTGCCGGGAACTGTTTTCATGTTATTTTATCCTCTTCAAAACAACTCTAAAATACAAGTATGCTAGGAATAAAATCTATGCCTACCTCATTAAGGTGGTGCCCATATTAAATGAGTTAATAAAAGGAAAGCACTTTCTGTAGTGCCTGGCATTTGTTAAGTACTCAATAAATCATAGATACTATTTTACAGATTGTTAAATGGGGCATAGAATGATTAGATGCTCATACAAAGTGACAAATTTGTAAATATCAAAGGTGTGATTAACTTCAGGGTCGACTCTCCTAAACACAATAATATGATAGTTTTAACTCCTTATACTTGTTATCCTCCTCTTCATGCTGTCTCACACCAGGTCTTCCATACAATGCTTCATTTCCCAGATAACTTTTCTAGCCTGGTTCTAGTTCCCTTTCATTTTTGACCCTTCACACTGCTTTGTGGATCTCAGTGTAATGATGCCTCTCTGGAAGTCAAATTCTTACCCTCCACTGACTCTCTCATATCCATTGGGCATCTCCAGGGAGGCAGATATGACACACCATATGCGGGCACATATACACCTTTCCAAGTCTTCATACCCCTTGTTAGAAAAGGCTTTCAAATGCAGTGATTCTCAAGCTCCTGGGTGCAGCCTCAGTGTGGTATGAAATACGTAGAATGTATCAGAAACAGTAATGAAATAGACTGAAATGAGACAGAATTGAAAAAATAGAGAATGTTTTTCAGAACTGAATAAAATAGAGAATGTTTTTCAAGTGCATCACACATGAGAAAGGTAAATAGTGTTCTCGTGTGTGTCTTTGTGTGTACATGCACTACCTGGTCCCAGTAGAAATTGTCAAAGGTTTGAAAGCCACTTCTTCAGTAAAATTACATATGCAGAAATCCACCTACTGGTAAAACCTCTTCACTCTAGAATCTAAATATCTGACCTAAATATTTTATTTTTATTTATTATTATTTTTATTATATTTCCTTTTCAAACTCTTTTTAGGCTACTGTAGGAAAGTTGCCATCAAATTACTACCAACTACGTTACTCTAACCTATTTTTCCCCCAGTATTGTTGCCTACTGGCAATTTTTCCAGTACGCAGTCTACCTGATAGCATTTCAGAGTCATGCACATATCTCCAACATCCTACATGATCAAGGAATATCGATTGAGGCTCTAACACAATTAATCTGGCTCAACCATTATAACAGGGTCTTGTTTAGTCTGAGAAATATCTTGGTATTAATAAGTCCATTTTTTTTTCCTAGATAAAAAAAGAAATAAAATAAATAAACAAATAAACAAATAAATAAACAAATAAACAAATAAAAAAGTTCATGCTAATAAAAAGCTCTTTTCCAAAGATGACCATATCTCTATGCTGTTCACACACAGTCTGCTTCTTATTGAATTGTCTTGTAATGTACTTATATATTGGGATCTATCTTTCAAATGCATTTCCTTAACTTTAATCAAGAATCAATTAGAAATTATTAATCAGTCTGTCATTTATCTGATTTTTTCAATGCAAATGTCTCCTTTGATGGAAGACCTATATCTTCCAAACCGATATCTATTCCCGCAAAATGGGAGACTCAAAATAATGCAAGGCATGGTGTCTACTCAAGAGCTCACAAAACATCCTAGAAATGGAAACTTTATTAAAATGAAAAAAAAGAGTTCACAAAATATAATACATGAGACTCCATAATGGATAAAACTATACACTTTGGTGGTGTTAGAAGCTGGATTATGTCCTCCCTCCAAATTCATGTGTTGAAATCTAACCCACAGTACCTCAGTATGTGACCATATTTGGAGATAGTCTTTAAAGATGTTTCTAAGGTAACGGGGATGATTAGTGTAGGCCCTAATCCAATATGGCTGGTGTCTTTATAAGAAGTGATTAGGACACAGACACACACAGCAGAAAGACAACGTGAAGACACTTGAAATGAAAATGGCCATCTCTGAGCTAAGGAAAGAGACTCAGAAGAAACTAACCGTGATGACACCTTGGTCTCAGACTTACAGCCTCCAGAATTATGGTAGACAGATAGATAGATAGATAATCATAATCAATATGTAGATACATAGATTTTTTTTTAACAATTCACTACTGAATGTCATTAGGAGATACGGCCAATTGCAGAGTGAAGCAATAAATTATGATCTATTCTCTTATAGAAGCCAAAAACAGAAATAAGGAGAATATTAATTTAAAATTCAAATTAAGCATGGGGGACGGTGCGTGCCCTGATGGGGTGCGCAGAGCGAGCGAGGAGGCACGGAGTCGCCGCAGAGCTCGGGGTTTCTTGACGACATGGACAATGTAAATTTGCATTCTTGATCCAGGTAAGAGGAAGGAAGTGGCATCCAATCCTCTGAGTTCTGATCTCCCAGCCTTGACCTGCAAGTTTTTTTGTTTGCTTTCCTGTTGCATCTTTGATACCATTTCCTAGAGGCTGCCCCATGGTTTAACTTGCAATTCTGAAATGAAGATGGAGGCAGTGGGAAAAGTCGAAGAACTCATTGAATCTGAAGTCCCACCAGAAACATCTCAACAAGAGACAGCAAAGGAGGAAGATGAATCTGTAGAACTGGAATCTCAAGTTCAGAAGGATGGTGTAGCAGATTCTACAGTTCTTTCTTCAATGCCCTGCTTGTTGATGGAGCTGAGAAGAGACTCTTCTGAGTCTCAGCATCCACAGAGCGTGACAAGCCTACAATCGGCCGAGTTTATGAGAGTGACTCCTCTAATCACTGCATGCTTTCCCCTTCCTCTAGTGATCACCTGGCTGATTCAGACACGTTGTCTTCCGCAGAAGAGAATGAACCCTCTCAGGCAGAAACGGCGGTAGAAGGAGACCCTTCAGGAGTGTCTGGTGCCACAGTTGGGCGCAAGCCTAGGCGGTCCCGTTTCGAAAGTGAAACATCCACTATGGCTGCCAAGAAAAACTAGCAATCCGGTGATAAACAGAATGGGTTAAAGGTCATGGGAGCCAAAAGCACAAGGAGAGGATCAGGCTACTGAGGCACAAACAGGAGGTTGCTGCAAGGAAGAAATACAACCTGCTGTAGGACAGTAAGTAGTACCAGTGATAGTGACCTGACTTGTGACTCAAGCACGAGCTCATCAGGTGATGATGAAGAGGTTTCAGGGAGCAGCAAGACAATCACTGCAGAGATACCAGATGGACCTCCATTTGTAGCTCATTATGATAGGCCTGACACCAGCTCTGATCCAAAAGTGGTAAATGTGTTGGCAATTTATTGGCAGCTGCAGTAGTTCAAGAGCACAATAATTCTATATGCAGCCAGGACACGGGAGCTACCTGGAGGACCAGCCAGCTTCTACAGGAGCTGAATGCAGAAGCAGGTCATTTGCATCCAGGATTCCTAGCAAGTGATAAAACATCTGCCGGCAATGCACTGCTCAATTAAGAAATCAATATTGCCTCTTCAGATAGTGAAGCAGAGATTGGGGGAGTTCAGGAACATGCAAGTTGTGTTCATCCTCGAGGTGGTGTGATTCTGAGTGTTTCTTCATGGAAGCATGGCTCGGACACACAGTATCTTAGCACCAAGCAGACACAGTCATGGAACTGATGTGAGCCCCCAGCAGACTTGGACTTCACCAGCAGAAGTTGTTGACCTTACCTTGGATGAGGATAGCAGGCGTAAATACATACTGTGATACAATGTCACTGTGTTTCTTCGGCACTGTTCCCTTCCAATTCCTCACCTTCTTTGTGACACAGAAGTTCATTGTCATGGCTTCAGCTTCAGAAGCTGTTTGTGGCATTTGTAGGATTCAAACTCATGGAAAATTTTGTCCTCTCCTCCTTTTTTTAATTAAAAGAAGTCACTTAGGAAAAAAATGTAAATTAAATTTAAATAACCTGAAAAACAATGATGTGAGAAAGTCCTAAATTTTTACATTCTGGCATTCAATATAACACTTTTATCCATTTCAGCATCACATAGGCATTTAAAGGGAATTAAATATCTCTGGAACACAAGCAACAAAATTCAAAAAGTTAAACAAGTTAATTAATAATGTGTGAAATATACAAAGTTCAAAAAAATTATTGAGATCAGGCACTGTGGCTCCTGCCTGTAATCCCAGGACTTTGGAAGGCTAAGGCAGGAGGATTGCTAGAGGCCAGGAGTTTGAGACCAGCTTGGGAAACCTAGTGAGACCTTGTCTCTACAAAAAATAAAAATACATAGAAAATAAAATAGTTCTTGCAAAAAAAACAAAGTGTGGAAAAAAGAAAAAAACACAGTTTACATAGTCTTCTAATTGTAAACTCATTTATTAAAGAAACAAAGGCTTTTTTTTTCTCTTTTCTAAAAGGTTTGGTCCTGTCGATAGCTCCTACCCACTGAGCACTGAGAACACAGAAGAGCCCTATAAGCATGCCATGTGGAGCACAAGAGCATAAGCATGCTATGTGGAAGAATTGCTATATTAGTTTCCACTGTCTCAATATTAGACGTAAGGAAAAGAAAGTCACCCCAGTCCTTGCACAGCGAGCCATGCAGAAAAAGCACTAGATGCCTGCAAATCATAAACTGGAATATGAGACCCTCCATCATCAAGTATAGCCAACATTTCCAGGTTTACTTCTCTCTATTCCTCACCTTCTCTCTAGCTGTGCATCACTGTTTCATTTTCTAGTTCCTTGCTTTTTTCAATGTTGGCTTTCCCTCCTCTTTCTTCTTATACCTTTTTCTTCATCCACCACTCCATCATCAAATTCACCACTCTCTACAACTCACCACTCCTCCAAGACTTTGCTCAATTTCAAATTCCTCTAGAAAACTTTTGATATTCTCAAGCCATATATAAATCATTGCACTAGGCTTACACATTTTTTATTTAATCTTTTCTACATCTTAATGGAGCAGGCAGTAAATATTAAATGAAATGTCATGTGCAAATATGCATGGCAATGGCTGAAGCTTAGTGGGCATTCAGTAAACATTATCATTAATATGATGATGATGTCTTAATCCATCTCTTATTCTCTGCTTAGTGTAGTGTTCTGTACATGGCTGATCCTCAATAAATATTTATAGGCTATATTATAGAAACATATATCTTGTCCAGAGCCTCAAATGTGAAAAAGTAATCTTTTTAAAATTTTATTATTTCAAAGTTTCTTTTCCCCCAAGTGGTTGATATGTATTTTCAGTCAAATTGACTTTTTCTGTCCTTTTCTGAAGCAATGAAAGCAGAATACTTAGCTGTTGAGAGAAAGGTAGGGTAACTGGTAAAATATATTAGTTAATACATTATTATCCTACTACAAGTGATTATAACTATATTGATTTATTTTCTAAACACTCCATTTAACATTGAATTGTTGAAATTTTGACAATTATAGGAGGCCTTCTCTGGGGAAAGGAATAAAATCTTTTCCTATTTATAAATTCTCCTTATAAATTCTCCTTATAAACAATTTTTCTTGTGTATACCTTTAGAGATACCTTAAGAATTTCACAACCATATATAAAAATATGGTTTACTCTTTTTGGAGAGTTATTAGGAAAAGATGGTTATGGCCTGGGAAAAGAAAAAGTAGTAGAATAATGCATAGTAAGTACTTATTTTGCCAAAAGGCTTAATACATATTAATAAAAGTGAAACAAAGCAAACCTTGGCCTCAAAATTGTATTATTGTAGCATCTATAAGTGCCAAAACTAGCTTGGTCGCGGAGACCCTAACCCAGCGACGCTAAAGGAATTAAAGACACACACACAGAAATACAGAGGTGTGAAGTGAGAAATCAGGGGTCTCACAGCCTTCAGAGCTAAGAGCCTGGAACAGAGATTTATGCACGTATTTATTGACAGCAAGCCAGTGATAAGCATGGTTCCTATACATTATAGATTAACTAAAAGCATTTCTTACTGGAAATAAAGGGATGAGTTTGGCTAGTTATCTGCAGCAGGAGCATGTCCTTAAGGCACAGATTGCTCATGCTATTTTTTGTGGTCTAAGAACACTTTTAAGCTGTTTTCCACCCTGGGTGGGCCAGGTGTTCCTTGCTGTCATTCTGGTGAAACCACAACCTTCCAGCATGGGCGTCACGGCCATCACGAACATGTCACAGTGCTGCAGAGATTTTGTTTATGGCCAGTTTTGGGACCAGTTTATGGCCAGATTTTGGGGGCCTATTTCCAACATACAAGGATGGAGGTAAGATGCCTTTTAGAGGAACCAAAACAAATAAGATGAGACTAAGGAAAGCAAGATGCAGTTAGTATAAAAGGAAGAAATGAATCAAATCCTAGTTTTTGGATACGGAGGCAGAATTCAGCATTTTCTAAGGCAACACCGGAAAACCATGAAACATCTGGGTGGAGGAAAATGAAACAAAATGTATTTTTATTGTTTTCACAAAATACATTTTAGTATGCATATCTGTAGCAAAGTCAAACACTATTACAAACATCTCATTCAAATTAAAGAGCAGGGAGAATCTAAAAATTCTTTTTAAGAAAGTAAGGGACAGTAGTAAATCAATATTCAGATTACTATTTTTGCTATATAAGATATGTAAAATACTGTTGCTATTTTCTGTATTTTATGTGCGAACTATATTGTTTTATTTTAATGGAGGTAAAAAATACAAAGAATATGTACATACAGGTCACTCCAGACTTTTGTCTCTAGCACATTTTTCAAAAGAGTATGAAGATGCTTAACCAAAATTCTTCTGACCAGAAGGTATTCTATTTATTTATTTGTTGATTGATTGATTTATTTATATTTTATTTTTATTTTTTGAGATGGAGTCTCATTCTGTCTCCCAGGCTGGAGTGCAGTGGTGTTATCTCAGCTCACTGCAACCTCTGCCTCCAGGGTTCAAGCTATTCTCCTGCATCAGCCTCCCCAGTAGCTGGGATTACAGGCATGAGCCACCACACCCAGCTAATTTTTGTTTTGTTTTTTAGTAGAGGCAGTTTCACCATGTTAGCCACACCAGTTTCAAACTCCAACCTCAGGTGATCCATCTGCCTCGGCCTCCCAAAGTTCTGGGAATACAGGTGTGAGCCACTGCACCCAGCCCAACAGGGGGCATTTTAAAGACTCTGTCCTCAGGTATAGGGAGGAACTATCATCTAAGATTGAACAGAATTGAAAACAAAATTTTTTTCTGAGAAAATGCAATTTAATTTTTACAGTTAGTATTTAAATAAAATAGAAAATGATGCCATTATTGTTGTGACAACTCAAGAAGTCTAAAAATCGTCATAGGTATCTGCTTACTATTTTATCAGCTTTACCTTCTCCTTTTTTTTTCTATTTCTGAGTCGAAAAACAACAGTATCTTTAAGCTCATACAATGCCTTCCTCTTAACATTTATGACATCATTCGAAATAATATTATGCAAACTCAATGGCTTTCTCCTAAATGCTATTAGCTTTATCCTAAGTCGTTTCTTTGCTATCATATAAATGTAATGTTTCAGCTGTTAAAATAATAATTTGTCATCTTATTTAGAAGGTTAAAAAATGAAGAATGAGCAGACAAAATTGTAGAAGGTATTATACCATAGTAAGTAGAACTAAGTGGCTCGATTTACCTATGCAACGATAGGTTCAAAGATATCCCTGGTATTCATAATTCAAATTTTCTACTCATGGTTTTAGAGTTTGCTAATTTACTTTGACTGCCTTTGTTAGTTAATAACATCTAAAATTTAGTGAAATCTTGCTGTATGCCAAACATTTTGTCTTCCCCAAGAATTACTCTATTTAAAAAATAATAAAACTATGATAAAAAGGAGAGTTACTTTGCCAATGTCATACCAACAGGAAGCTGGGGAACTAGATTCTGAGCCCAAGTCTGTCTGAAGAATGAGCAGAAAAAATTGTAGGAGGTATTATACCTTAGTAAGTAAAACTAAGTGACTGGATTTACCTATGTAACTATAGGTTTAAAGATATCCCTGGTATTCATAATTCAAATTTTCTACTCATGGTGTTAGAGTTTGCTAATTTACTTTGAGAGCCTTTGTTAGTTAATAACATCTAAAGTTTAGTGATATCTTGCTCTATGCCAAACATTTTGTCTACATTATCTCATTTAATCCTCACAATTCCCCAAGCATTACTCTTACTATTTAAAAAACAATAAAACTATGATAAAAAGGAGAGTTCCTTTGCCAATGTCATACAGACAGGAAGCTGGGGAACTAGATTCTGAACCCAGGTCTGTCTGATGACAGAATTACAGAATTCAGAATCCATGTTCCTCTATACTCTCTAAAATTTCTCTAGAGTCTTTCATTCCGAAGTGACAATAATCTAAGCCAGCTTTTAAAAAGGAAGAATGGGAAGAGTGTTACTTCAGGGAACCAAATCAAAGAGATGCTAAAATTTGTCTCAAAGGCAAGTAGATTTTGTGCCTGAAGCAATGCCAGAAATTTCTGTCCCTTATCTATGACTCTATCAGAGATTCTATTCTTTCCTACAGATGAACTTTTTCCCTTCAGGGGATCACCAATGTATATACTGGTAGGCAGTGGTTGTGGTTTATATTAAATATCACCAAAGAAATGAACACTTTCTAAGAAAAGTAGAAAATTGGATTAGAGGACAAGCCAGTATTAGGTGGAACCAGTCATTTTGAACATGCAAAGAGGCCCAGAGGGTAGTGGTAGAGGCAATCTAGGAGACAAAAGTCACCTAGTTAATACCTGAGTTAATACACAGGTACTGGAACCTCCTAAAAGAGAAGCAAATGACTTGGCTTCTCTTAAGTATCAATTCTTTTTTATCTGAAAGTGGTACTGTAAGAACTAAAGTAATTAATGCGTAAAATATAATCTTAGTAAAAATCTACGGAGTTTGGATGAACACAAGGATACTGAAGAAAGGCTAATAATTTGATGCCTGTTTAAACAGATAATCTTTAAATATTTATTCAGCCTTTTTTGAATTGTTGAATTGGGATAGGGCAAGCATTGTGGGCCACTTCAAGTTCAAATTCAAAAATTTGGATTTATTGCATGCATTAAAATAACACATTACTAGTTTTTGAAATTGT